TCGTAGATTGGACCGAACAGCTGAGGAAAGGGACCCAAGACTCTTTGAAATTTTCGGAGCTATTAGGGGCGTTCACACCAAGTACTTTTCCCACAATAGTCAACCCAGTCTCACGCCATTTCGTGTTATAGTCACGAAATTAATTTAATCTATTGATTCGTGTTCACCAACACGATTTTCACATTTTTTTCGTGTCACACAGAACGATTTTAAAAGCAATGTATTTATATTGGTAGTATGTTTCGTGCCTGCACCACGTCTTTTTGTCCGGTCGGGTCTTGGAATACCAGAAGCTGTGTGGTTCATAAACACATTTTCTTACTCAATATCTTACCCTAAGCCTAACCCTATCCCTTTTATTTTAAATTGTATAATGTCTGAGTTTTTTTGCCGTCCGCAAGGAAAATAAATGGGGCTCAGAGCCTCAGAATACTGAAATCTGTATTTTTTGTCATCTCTTTTTCCTTCTAATTTGTTATTATTTACATTGCTTTTAAAATCGTTCTGTGTGACACGAAAAAAATGGGAAAATCGTGTTGGTGAACACGAATCAATAGATTAATTTCGTGACTATAACACGAAATGCCGTGAGACTGTGTTGCAATAGTTCATGAGAACTTTAGTTCATGAGAGCTCTTTTAGTTCTGATGAACTAAAGCAGATCGCGTTCACACCAAAATGAGTTCCTGGGGGTGGATTAGGCAAATGAGCCGCTGACGTCACTTCTTCTTCTTCTGCTTTGGGTTTACTGGCAGGCCGCAAACAACTTCACGGCGAGTACAGTAGGTGGCGGTATGCACCTTAAAGTTGCAATTCGCCAAAAAACCGAGAGAAGAAGAAGAAAAAAAACTTCCGCTTCCGCTGTATGCTTCTGTTTACCTTCCGACCTCAGACACGGTATGGAGTTGACGTTTTGGTGGTCGTGTTATACAGCTTCGTAACTGAGTTATTTAAGCCAATAACTCAGCCACAAATACAAATACAGATGGACCATTCAAATGCAATAGAAATGCTGAGTCGGAGGCGGAGGCGGAGGCGAAGGCGAAGGCGGTTAAGAAGCCTTAACAAAAGGATTGGACGACGAAAAGCACACGCTATGGACATGTTTCGCCGTAGGACAGCTGAGGACCGTTATCACGCCCAAAGAACAGCAATGGTACGTTCATTAAATCACATTAATACTATCTAATGTAGGATTTATGGAGTTATGTAGGGCTAATTTGTGTCTTTGTATGTGTTCCAGATATGCGAATACTACGGAACGCGCCGTGTCCCGCGCTCTCTCTGGGTGAACAATAGAACATCGGCCTGGTGGGAGAAGGTGGTGCCAACGTACACCAATGTGCAGTGGATCAAAGATTTCCGAATGTCCAAGGGCTCTTTTCAACTCCTCTGTATTCGCCTGGAAGCAACGTTGGGGAGACGCAACCTAAAAAAATCGCCGCGGGGCAAGACACGCGCACAGCCCTTATGAGGCATCTGAACAGCATGGAAATTGTAAATTGACAATAAAGCTGATCTTTTGTACAGTGCATTTGGTTCTCTCTTTTATTTACCACAGTCAACAGACACAATTACAATAGTGCAGACACACCTTAGTGCAAAGATTAAATGTCAGTATCAAAACAGTACTCATACTGTATATTTGTATATTAATATGAGTATATTATTATGTTAAATGTGTGTTAAAGACAATGGGATGAGGTTGAAAGCTCTTTAAAAAGCTTTTGTATACCATCTTCACTGTGATAAATACATACATGTTAAGCATACACACCTGAAGAACTACGTTACACACACACAGGTTAGTCTGTGTACCGCTGCACTGCTGCTGGTTTAAACACAGACAGTCATGATGCTAGTGCCGTGCATGTAGGTTCTCTTTTATTTATCAGCAGCAGATCAATAAGTGTCAGTAGTATCAAAACAATATAATAACAGTGGCAATATATATATATATATATATATATATATATATATATATATATATAATAACAATAGGTAGGCTCAGCAGCAGACACACCTTAGTGCAAAGTTAGGTGTCAGTATTAATAACAGTGGCATATATATATAATCACAATAATACAAAATTAACTGTCCCAGGTGTAGGCAATTTGGGGTGAAGTGTCTTGCCCAGGGACACAACGACATCCTGACTGCAGTGGGGTTTGAACCTGTGCTCCCGTGATCCGAACACCAACGCACCAGACCACTGCACAACACGCCTCCCAACAAGTCATTGTACAGTTTATCAACGACGACAAGTTTTTCTTAATTTTTGTATTGAAGGCCTGTTGGATTTAATCAGCTCGCTTAGCACTGCCAGAAGCCCAGCCTGAAAGGTATTTTGTTGCTCCACCTGGCACCATGAGCAGCTGGTCGTCCGATTCCTGGGCCTTGTGTGAATGCAGCAGCCGTTCGTCGTGCATCTCCTTGGCACGCAGGTCCTCATTCTCCTTGCTGACCATGGCACGGCGGTCCATCGCCATGATGGTGTCAAGGAAGCTGTCATCCCGTGCCCGCTTTCCTAAGGAGAAATAAGCAAGATACAAGATCAGTTTAATCGCAACAACGAGACAACATTGTCCAACATTGGACATGGTGCAGGCAGGGACAGTGTACAAAATGCAGGTGTAAAGTATAAGATAGGGTCAAATAATATCAAATAAAAAATAAATATCAAAGTGCCCTTATTTATTGTTTTGTGCTTAATGTATGCTTGAACTTTGTTTTATAGGGATTAGTGGACATCAGTTAGATGTGTAACCTTCTTTCAAGGCCAGAGTAGTTACAGTGTAAGTGGATTGACATCTAACATAACATGGCTGAGTACAATTATAACAATCAATAAAAAAAAGGAAAAATAAATAGAACTTCAATTACATTTCTACTTAAATGTGCAAAAATATTAGAACATCAGTCTTTGTGGCATGCAGGTAATCAACTGTTTAAGCTTTTACCATTAGCATGTAGAATGAATGTTGCAAATGACTTGAAATTATAGCAACTACAATGTATTGTTAGAGGTAGCATTATGTCCAGCTAGCATGCTAATTGCTAACGTTATATTATCGTTTTATCCCGGAGGGGAAAACTAGTTTCTAATCCTGAGAGAAACACCTCGCCTGAAACACACGATTAGTGCCATGAGTTAGTGAAGCAAATTACAGAACATTGCACACTTATTCACAAGTCAAAATGTGTTCATAGCGGGCACGGCTGAGAATAGCTAGCTAGCTAGATGTTGTTAGCCAGCTTGGACCTATGATAGCAAGTTCTAGCATGGCTAGCTCGATCTACTGAGCAAATAAAAGTACATCTAAGACCAGTATTGTGCAGATTAAAACAGTGCAGTGCATGTATTTTATTTTACCTTCGTCCCGACATGACTTTGCCAGGTCTGCTAACTTTGCTGAACCACGGAAACTGCATTCAGTAGAAGCTTCTGAATGCGGCGCTTCGCGTCCTCCAAGTAAATCGCCAGAAGCGCCGACACATCCTCATCACTCCACCGCTCCGATGATTTATTTAGTGTTGCTATAATAACTGCTTTCACAAAAGTAATCTCTTCGGGGGCGCTGGCCCGAAGCGAGCAAATACAATGGCCGCTTACAACAAAAAATTCAGAGTCAAACGGGCGTGGTTTGCATTCCGCACGGCCAATCAGACGTACGAACTATTTTCTCTCTAGCAGGGACTGAAAAGCGGGTCAGACGAACTAATTTGAACTACTTTAGTTCCTGGGGCTTTTTGGTGTGAACGCAAATATATCGTAGTTCTGATGAACTATTGTGGGAAAAGTACTCCAAAGTACTCCGGTGTGAACGCGCCTATACTGTCTGACGCAATGATGAGAACCTCTGTTTTGTCTGCATTAAGCTGACATCCAGTCCTTAATGGCCTTTAGACAGTTGTGTAACACAGATAATCTATCAGGATCATCAGGTTAAAAAGAGACATAAGTTGAATATCATCAGCGTAACAGTGGTAGGAAATATTACTGAATTTGCTGATAACCTGACGCAAGGGAAGCATATATAAGGAAAATAAAATAGGACCCAAAACGGAACCTTGAGGCACACCACAGGTAAGAGCAGCAGTATCAGAAGTGTAAGGACCTAAAGACACAGAGAAACTCCTATCTGAAAGGTAGGAGGAGAACCATTTCAAGGCACTCCCTGAGACACCACCTGCCTGAGCCTTTCCATCATTATTCTGTGATCTACAGTGTCAAAAGCTGCGCTAATGTCCAGCAGCACTAAAACAGAGCATTCACCCCTATCCGCAGACATCATTATGTCTTTGGAGACTCACATTTCCCTCTGTCTGTCCTGCCCAGACTTTTAACTGTGACAGAGAGAAAGGACTGCGCCGCCCAGAGATTGATGCTGAGGCTTCTAATGAAGTCAGCTCCAAAATATTACTGTGCTATTGTTTGTGATTGGAAAGTGGAATTCAAACCTTAGTACCAGACATCTCTTTTATGATCTGCTTATTGTTTTTGATTTAGTATTTCTTTTTTAATCTGTACTTGCATGCCCCAACTGGATTGAGATAAAACTGTTTTATTTTTTCAGTTACATTTTTGTATACATTTCAATAACAGTTTTTCCACATGTCGCACTATAAATGTTATAACTCTTGCTTTGGTGGCCAACAAGACAATCTAAGTCTGCGAATAACATGGTCAGAACCTGCTCTTTTGAGAACTTCATATCTTGTTAAAATGTTACAATGAAATGAAAACAAATTTGAACAAACATTTCTCATAGAATACATTATTGAAAGCTTGTCTAACGCTGACATTATTGATTTTCCTCTCCTTGTATGCAGATGACTTCAGATTTGTGTTTGTTTGAGTCGATTGAATCAAGGCAACAGGAGTAGTGTTGAACAGAGCTGAAGTCACACATTCTTAACAAATTGAGTTTAACAGGACAATCTGGATAAGAACAAACTAAACATGGTGCATCCAGCAACTTCTTGAAGGGATTATTTACCTGTCTGGTTCCTGGAGGGGGGGCATGGGCCCCTGGCTTTTCCAGATGGCCCTGCGGGTTCTTGCTGGGCCGAGGGCTGCCGTCCTTACTGAGGCCCCCTGCCTCGGCTATATCCACCCCACTGTCCTCACTCAGAGTCTGGCCACTGTCTGACAGCTGGGAGAGAGTGGCCCCTGGATGAGGCCCCACAGAGTTAGTCAGTCCACACATGCTGCGGTTCTGCTGTTACCTCAGAACCACACGGAACCATTATTCAACAAAGACATGCTATCTATCTCATATATAAATATTATATATAAATATGTATTTCCAACATTTCAATATGATTTGATCACACTTGTATTAGTATAGTATAGTATTTTTTCCATAACGGATTGTATATACTGTATAGCAAATATTCAAAAATATATATGCATAACAAAATCACAAAGGCAATGTTGTTTATAGGTATGTGTAACAATTTAGAATTTCTCGCCCATGTAGAGATGGTCTCTGCAAAGGGAAACCAAACACTCATACGTGTACCTCTTTGCTGTGTTCGGCAGTCTGCAGACAGCCAGTTCATGTCGGTCAGGATGACTTTGTGGGTGAGGGCGGGGGAGCAGGGCCGGTCAGGACTACAGGTTGGAGCAGCAGGTGTGATGAGGGAGGGGCAGGGGGAGGGACATGGGGAGGGGCGAGGTGATAGATGAGGGGATTGCATGGGAGATGCAGCTTTTGAAGAATTAGCTGACTTTGCAAAGTAGGAGGACTTCTCATAGGAGCTAGATCTGCAAGCCATCCTGACAGATGCCTCTGAGGACTGCCGGGGGGGCAGGAGGCCGGGGCAGGTGTGGGGTCCTGAGCTGTGCCAGCTGCTGGCCCCATGCTGGTGGAAGGGATGAGCGAAGTTGGAGTGGTTGTATTGTTCAGGGTCAGATATTTGAAGGGAACTCTGGCATGTGTGATTAAGTGCATTGAGGGAAGCGTGGTGGCTGGCAGCAGCACAGGTGTGTTGGGCAGAGGGGGGCAAAGACTGCTGGGTGCTGGGGAGGGATTTGAGGGACTTGTAGAGGCAATCCTGGAGCAGCCGTATTGGGCCAGTGAGAAGGGGGCTGGAGCTGAGCTGCCCCCGGCGGGCTGGAGGCTTCCTGCTGGGCTCCTTGTCCCTGGACAGTCTGCTGTGAGCCTGGGGGGGGGCATCTCTTGATAATGTAGGAGATTCACCTGAAGCACGCATTTCAGCCTGTCAATGAAAAAAGCTCCTATATGAGTTTAAAAGTTAACAAAATGAACAAGGCTTATAAAGATTACTGGTTCATTTAGTGACAGCTGTGGTTGCAGAATTGTCCTCTCAAAATGAAATGAGAGGATTAATAGACTGGAAGCTAGGAAACCGCTGGCCTGGCTCTGTCCAAAGTTGAAAAACTCCAAATACTCACAACTCTAAAGCATTGAAGAAGACACATTCTGCTCATTTTAAGGTTCATATCAGTATGTAGTGTCTCTACTGGGACATGTCTCCATGCTTTAATGTTCAAAAAGCTCTTTATTTTTCTCATACTGCCTGTGCTGCAGCACCTCTTTTCACGCTCTGTCTGAAACCAAAGCCCAGTCAGCTCTGATTGGTTAGTGGACGGCTCTGTTGTGATACAATACATCCTTAATGGACCACCTCCTGGGCCTTCCTTAATCTTGTTACATTGATCTATCATGTCCTCTGAATATATAGTAATACTGTGGTGTGAGGCATTATATGTTGATTTTTAATCTTTGTCTTTATTAGGATCCCCATTAGCACTAGCATGAGCATTGGCTATTCTTCCTGGGGTCCTCACACACACAAAACATACATACACATACATACAACAAAATTAAAACAAAACAGCTCATAATTTCATGCAATATACAGTGCTATATGAAATGAAAACTAAAATGGTCATCCAATTTTTGCCATCATAAGGCCAAACAAAAAAATACAAATGAGTGTACAGATGTAGCACTCCAGATAGGACTCCACCCAGCGGATTCCAACCAAAAACCCAGCGGATCAGTGGCTGGGGGCGTTGCCAAATTGCTAGAGGGCGTTGCCAAATTTCCCCATTTGTTCAATTACAGGATTTAACCATGAGATGGCGCTTCATTCACAAATACACAAAGACAACTGGGTGTTGTAGACCTTAGTCTGTTTGCAATGTTTGCAGCTCTGCAGTTGTGTTTGCTGAATACTGTAGCATTTAATCACTTATTTGTTATGGTTTTCACAGGCTACTATAACGAAAAAACATCAATATTTTAGATCAAATAAAGTATATATAATCTTATTATCTTAATTGTAATTCAATAATATATAGTCTTTATATATTAAATAATCATAATAATAATGTAAATGTTTACACTTCTTTATTTTTTATGCTCATACCTTTACAATAGTTTGCTTTAATATGCAGTATATTTTTTGTAATATTGTTGTGGTGTACACAGAACAGTAGATCGAAGTAAATCAACTCATACATTATCACGTATTATACAGTAATGTGTTGTATTATTAAGTAATATACATTAACCCCATTATAGCAGATGCCACATTGAATGGATGAACACATTTATGCATCAATAATTACAACGAAGTATTTCTAAATATAAGTTGCACAAATTATATGTATGTAATACTAATAACATAATGATTCATTTTACTTTCAGATGATAATACTTTTCACTTGGGCTATTGACAATTTTGAAGGCAGGACATTTGCTTCTAACACGTCTTTTTACCTAGGTAAATATTCGGAATACTTCTTCCACCTCTGATTTTAACCTGTCTGTGTTTTTAAAACTTTAATTAAATGTTTGATATTTCCAGAGACCCTTTCAGACCGGCAATGCTGCCCTGCATGTTAACTCCGATAGTCCATCGGAATGTGACAAAAGTCAGAAGTCTCCCATCGCCCTTGGGAGACTTTCTCCACACATTCCGATGGGCAATTAGTTTTAAACAAAGAGTCCGCAACATGGGCTACTATCTCTTGTTAACAGAGGGGGGATGGTAGAGCTTTGTCACACCGTTTCAGGGTTAATGAATAGTGGATAGGAGAATTCAGAGCAAAGCAAGAAACACTCCAGCCTTTTATTTAAACTTGTTTAAAACATATCTAAATAAATATGTGTGTCCCGGGCCATAAATGTAAGTATGCTGTCAGATAAAGCCACGACATCACAATTCCCGTATTGCTTTGAACCCACCAGCTTTTATGGAGAAAATAAGTTATATAATAATTAACCAGAGGCATGCTTCTCACTATTTTATGCATAGAAACAACAGGCTACTGTGTGTGTGAGGAATCAGCTGTTTATTTCATATTAGTTTCATTGTGGCAGCGTCCATCACTGCTCTCCCTGGTTGCAATACACAAAGACAGCTACTGTAACTGTAAGCTTGTCACTCAGAGGGGGGTGGGGGCCATGGCTGATGGTATAGCAGTAATATTAAACACTAATAATACAGTAAACTATTAACAATAGTACAATATTATAGCCCGTTTGCCCATGGTGAGATGACGAGGCTTCATTAAAAATAAACCTCTTTTTAGTGAATTACTGAGTTTGGGCAAGTTAATAACGTTTCAATGAAGTTGACTACAGTATATTCATATTTGTCAATTTGGCGAACATAGCCTAGACATAAATGATCGTGAAGATGATGATTAAATTAGGATTCAAAATCGGTAGTGAGAGCCTTGAGCACTGCATTTCCTCCCGTCGGATGTGATATAAAAACAAACCCATTATTTTTGTAGTTGTAAACTCACGTGGATTAAACCACATTTATTAGTGCTTTCATGTCAATTCGGCGAACATATGATACATTAAATGATCGTGAGGATGATGATTAAAAATCGTTTGTTTGAGCCGGTCTGCATTTCCTGATGAAAAAACAAACCGATGGTTTTGTGTAGTACGCCAACGTGGATTAAACAACATTATTTTGTTAAATAAAAACTTTGTGATGTTTTGTAAATGATTACATGTCTCTTATTTAGGACAGAATATGATCCTATCCGTGACATATGGATCTTAACAAAGATCCGCTATTATCAGATACCTGTCGAGATCTATCAGCTGTTTATTTCACATGAGTTCCAGTGTGGCAGCTTTTTAATCACTGCTAGATTTGGGTAATACGAACCTTCCTTCTATTGCATGTCGTGTTTGATAGTTATGTTGAACATACTGCGCTATAAACCTTTGTGATAATATATGTGGTAAGTGAGTCACTGTAATATTTCTGACAAAATTTAACAAAATATAAGTTGACCTCTGTCTGACACTTAACCATTTCAGTGTCTCCAGCATTCCAGTTACTCTGGTTCTGTAGGAGCACTGCAGTGCACATCGTGCTGCCTTATGTTGTGCTACTTTTAGTTTGTTTAAGTATTTTTCTGCAGCACTAGACCATATAACCAAACAATAATCAAGCTGCGACAGAACCAAAGCATCCAGGACTTGTCTACTAACATCTATTGGCCAATATTTTACAATTCTTTTTACAAGTGACACACCCCTTCCCATTTTACATACAACATTATCAATTTGTTTAGACAAGGGCTTCTCAAACTCCGGACCAAGGTCCGGATCCGGACCGAACTGCAAATCAATCCGGACCGAACCCTGTTAAAAAAAAAAAGAATCAGATTCTGATGTACATTATAAAAAAAAAAATCAGATTCTGATGTAAATTAATGTATATTTTCTTGTGTCTGACGCGTTGTGAGAATGCACGTGCATATATATTTACTTGTGTGCGCGAGCGTGACACGCATTGCAGACCGCCAGTTAACTGCAAGTTTACCTTGATTTTCGAATGCTTCTAATGCCTTTTTTGCCGAGGCATTGGCTGCAGACAAACAGTGCCATTTCTCCCACTAGTTCAAGCCATCATCCTGTATTGCATGTGTGTGTGCGTGTGTATACAGGGGTGCCGTTTCGTTGCTCCGCTCCGGGGGGGACTTTACTGGCATTGATCCGGACCAGTGACCTTGTATAAAATTCACAAGTGGACCTTTAACAAAAAAGTTTGAGTACCCCTGGTTTAGACCAAGATCATTTATGATCCAGGGTCATACCTAGCAATTTTGTCTCCTTGACCTGTTGAATTTGAATATGGTTTGAATGTAATTGCAATTTGGGTTCACCTTTTAACTGATGATTTGATCCTATTAATAAACATTTTTGTTTTTCCAGCATTGAGTACTAACTTATTATTTATGACCCACTCTGATATCAATTGTAGATCTTTATTCATAAAATTAGTCAACTGTCTTTTATTCGATGCTGCATCATATATTGTTGAGTCATCTGCATACATTACAATTTTGGCTTTTTGTAACACTAATGGTAGGTCATTTGTGAAAATAGAAAATGAAAGTGGTCCAAAACAACTACCGTGAGGTACTCCACAAGTGACTGTCTTAATCTTTGAGAGACTTCCATTAAGGAAAACAGTTTGACTTGTCAGGTAACTTTCTAACCACCTCAGCATATCAAAAATAAAACCATATTGTTCCAGCTTGTGTTACAGTAAAGAATGGTCAATGACATAAAAAGCAGAACTAAAATCAAGTAGTACTGCACCCACTAACTTCCTATTATCTAGTTCGCCCTTCCAGACATCTGTCATTTGTCACAGCCGTGCATGTCGAATGGCCAGGGTTGCGGTCGAATAGTCCAAAATTCAGCTCCTAACGTCTATCCCTATCGTCTATCCCTTGACCTCTGTGTGAAACGTCACGGGGTTAAGGGATAGTGGATAGGAGAATTCAAAAGGACTTAGGAGAGGAGACTGCGGTACTTTAGAGAATCCGACTGCACTGCCAAAATGCCCTGTCAAATTTAAGGCCAAACGTTCTAGATATAAGCATGCTTGCGCTTAAAACAAGCAAATTTGGCTGCCAGTGCAGTAAGTGAATTTCACTTGATAAGATGTCTTAAAACAAGTCAGGCTGTCCGACTGTCATTATAGCACATAAAATCTTGAAATAAGATACGTATTAGAAGTAAATATCCTGCATTCAAAATTGTCAATTGCCCAAGTTAAAAGTATTATCCTCTGAAAGTAAAATTAATAATTATGTTATTAGTATTAAATACATATAAGTATTTTTACAACTTGTATTTAGAAATACTCCGTTGTAATTATTGATGCATAAATGTGTTCATCCATTCAATGTGGCATCTGCTATAATGGGGTTAATGTATGATATTACTTAATAATACAATACATTATATACAATTAAGATAATAAGATTAGATATACTTTATTTGTTTTTTCGTTATAGTAGCCTGTGAAAACCATAACAAATAAGTGATTAAATGCTACAGTATTCAGCAAACACAACTGCAGAGCTGCAAACATTGCAAACAGACTAAGGTCTACAACATCCAGTTGTCTTTGTGTATTTGTGAATGAAGTGCCATCTCATGGTTAAATCCTGAAATTGAACAAATTGGGAAATTTGGCAACGCCCTCTTAGGAAATAGTGGGAGGGCTTTAATCTCCCAGCCACTGGGATCCGCTGGGTTTTTGGTTGGAATCCGCTGGGTGGAGTCCTATCTGGAGTGCTACATCTGTAGCTGCTGTATACCTTGTGGTGCCGCTGAATGTGACCATTTGTCATGTTGTTAACAGCTAAGCTAGGCACTGTTACATTCACATGTCCATACAGATGTTGTTTTATTGCTGTTAAAGAGCTAAAGATAAAGGAGAATTTAGTCATAATTATTGGTCCTGAAATTTGAGTGTATTCATTGTAAATGTAACAAAATTAGCAACATATCTAAGAAATGTACCATCTAAATTATCCCCACCTGGTGGTTTATCGTTACATTTACCTAGTAGACATTCAACATCTGTAATTGTCACTTTTTCTATTTTAAATATTTTAGTCAAGAATTTCCCTTCCACCTCAAGATATGTTGAGGTGGATTTTTGATTCACTAAACTCCACAGTTTTTTCTTGTCATCCTTTATATCTTTAATTTTATTTCCATAATACAATTGTTTTATTTTTTGATTTAATGCTGTAACATAATTCCTTAACCTTCTATAAATGTGCCCATCTGACTCATAACTGATGAGAGAGCTACATGTTTTGCACCATCTCTTTGTTTCATTAGATCCCTTAGTTCCTCATCTAACCAGGCGCTCTAAAGTTCCTTACTGTCTGCTTTCTAAGTGGAGCATGTTTATCAATCACCTGCATAAATAACTAATTAAAAACATCAAGAGCATCATCTGAGGCCTGTACTACGAAGCCGGATTTTCCTAACCTGGATATGTTTGAGTTAGCCGGTTGGCCCAATCCAAAACATACGCGCTCTCGCTAAACTGTACTACGACGCTGGTTATCAAGTGGATCGCTCAAGCCAGCCGTGTCCTATCTAGTTAGGTGCTCGTTCACATGAAAGGGGTGGTATTTGGAGCATTCGACCAATCACAAACATGGACAAGCGTACTGACAGCGCAGCGTCATACTTCCTGAATGAAAAGTGAACTTTAATATTAGTCAAATATGAAGAAGTTAAACTTTAAACATCCATGACTTAAACACTTTATCCAGGATAAAAGCCACATAGCTGCACCTGCAAGGTGAATACAGCTGGTAAAAGAAAAAGCGTTTGAATGCGTACATTAACAGGTTTATGATATCACTGCCCCGTCTAAGACACGATCTGACTTTAATTACATTTGACTCGAGTGTTTCGTCAACTTAATGTGTTGCTTAAAATAATACTTCTGCATACAGTATGTGACACTGTGAGTGTTGCACGGCCAGATACGGCTCAAGAAGCTGACTCAAATAAGGAAATATAGGATACATTATGATGTGATATGATATGAATGATAATGGGACACAACGACGTCTGCACTCACAGTGCCGCGGACTGTACTTAATGTTACTCTGATCCGGTTACTTATGTTGTGGCAGATATTTAAGTAAGCTTTCTTAACGCTAATGTTATAATAGTCAGATTGCTCTGAAGATGGGAGGGGATATTCTATTAATTTTCACGTTCACACAGTCAGTTGATTTTTGCCGGCCGTCTTTCCTGCAACGGCAGTTTTTCTGTATTTCCTCTATCCTGTAATATGAATTGATAGCTTTAAACTCCGCACACGGAGCTCTGATTGGTCAGCAGGCGGTGCTTTCACTGAGTTGATCTCTTAGCCTGCAACCTAACCTCCTTCCGAGGAGGTTAGCCGCTCAGCATAAGTTACCATGGAGATCTAGCCCGCTAAAAAGAGAACCAGCGTCGTAGGACCGGAAAGCCCGAGTTTTCCCTGAAGTCAGCCGGCTAAGCGAAAATCCGGCTTCGTAGTATACCCCCCTGGATCGACTTTCTCAAAAACATGTTTCCAACATATCTTTTGAACATCCTGTATAAATGAATCTTCACATAAATATTTCATTGATCTCACAATGACTTTCGGTCCTGCTCTTGGCACCTTTGTCTTTCTCACGATAATTATTAAATTATGATAAGTACACATACTGGAATTGATATTGCCTGTGAACATAAATGGCTAAGATTTGTAAATATATGATCAATACAAGTTGCACCTTTTGACCCATCTTTCTTTATGCGTATCCGAGTAGGTTTAGTCACCATTTGTACCAAGTTACAAGTATTAGTTATTGTCTGCAGCTTGTTTTTAAGGGCACAGTGCAACATATTCCAGTCAATGTTTACATCTCCGATAAAATAAATCTCTCTGTCAAGATCGCAAACTTTATCTAACATTTCACATAATTTGTCTAAATAAGTTAGGTTTGCATTTGGAGGTCTGTAACAACATCCTACCAACAAAGGTTTCAAGTGAGGTAAATGAATTTGCAACCAAAGTACTTCAATATCAGCAGACATCAATCCTATCTCACTTTAGCTGGTATTTGCTTTTGAATGTATACTGCCACCCCACCTCCATATGCATTCCTGTCCTTTCTAAATATACTGAACCCATGAATGTCCACTGCAGCGTCATTAAAGATGTCATCTAAGTGAGTTTCAGATATTGCTAATGCTAACAAATGAATACCACATGATAATATTTCCTCTATCTCAGACACTTTATTTCTTAGACTACAAATATTTATATGAGCCAATTTGAACCCTTTACTTGGTAACTTATTTGACATTAAGATGGCAATTTAAATGTTATCTCTTTTTCACTTCCTTTCAAATTGAGAGCTGAACTAAAACATACATGTAACACAATTTCAACCACAAACACCATCACATACACAACCCAACATTTAACTGCACATAGATTGCTATACATGTGCATACTCACTCACTCAATTAGACGAGCCTCCCGGTAGCTCCCAAACATTTTTAGATAATAGTCATTGTATGAAATAGATTCATGGTAATGTCTCGCAAAACACCAGATCTAATTAATAAATCAAAATTACATTTTAGGAGGAATTAACAACAATAGAGACCAGTTAAAATTGGTCTCTATTCAAAATCTAATAAACCTAATCTCAAAATCGCAGTTGATGAAGTAAATAACATTCATCTCATGTCTGAGGTCTTGGTTGTTAAAGATTGACAAACATAGAAACACATTCATGAACAACACTGTGATCCCTGCGTGTGCATCTTATTTTGAATGCAGAATAAAATAAATGACACATACCATTGTCATGTTTTGTAAGGCATTAGTGTTCTCCTCCTGGTTGTTTTCTGTCAAGCCAGCAACAGAGCCGTCAGTCTGGAAGAAACAGCATGTAGTCATGTAATACTGCAGGCATGAGTCTGTAACAAACACTTAAAGTACACTTTACTGTAGCCTACTTAATCATGCCAGATGGAAGGATTCTCCCCACAGGGCAACAGAACGAGAGCACGGAAGTTTAGAGAGTTAGAACAAAGTGTTTGAGAAACAGTTTTAATTTTTTCTGTAAAATCTGAATACGGTGGTGGAACTACAGGCTGGAGTCTATCATTCCAATGAACTTCAGGGAGAACCAGCGTTCTGTTAAGGGGAATATATCTCTTTCAGGTACATGTGGAGGAGGACAAAGAAGAATGAGGGAGGAAGGAGGGAGGGGGTGGGGGGTGGGGGGTGACATCTTCAAGTTAGCATCCTGTCTTGTTTCAAACTCCAGATGTTTAACAAATTACACAATTTCTATTATTAAAACAGGTTGGTTTTGCATTGCACATTAATTGGTGCTCATTTTATTTGCGTTCAAACTCAGGTTCTTAAGGTTTATAGTTTGGAGTGCCTCTGGTTTCTGCAACCTCCCAACACGGCGGCGTGCGTTGAAGCTAAGCTTGCCGGCGGCGGGGGCTGAAACTCGACCAACAACCAATCACATGAATCTCCCGCCCCGGACACACAAGCACGCGGTTTGATTGGCTAGAGCTTGTACTGGCATATGATTCGATTGGCTGACGCTTCCACCGAAGCTTCAAAAGTTGAACATTGCTCAACTTTTGAAGCTACGCTTCGCTCCCACAATGCAGTTCGGCGAAACGTGACGTCACCCCATTCAAAGTGAATGGGCAGAAGCGTTGAAGCCGTGTGGACGGGCCGTAAGTAGAATGGTTAGACCGGTCACTGTATGGGTTAAACAGAAGACTAAACCCAGGACTGTGGCTTGTGTATCTCGGCTGGAATCAACTTCTCTGCTGCTGTGACCATCAGAATCATGCTTTCTTTATAAAAAAATTATCTTCAGTTCAACACATTGCTCTGGAAATCTGTTGAGACTTCTACTGCTTTTCATTTCAACTTTTGTCAGAAGAACTACTGACCCGATTTTCATGAGGCTTGGTTAAAGGCTGAGGAATGGGCCAAGGGAGAACCCACTCGATTACAGGGAATCTGAATTACTTCTCACTATTTCACTGGAACTGGCCTTGGTGTATTATTGTGACACCTACAGTATGTTTTTCCTACTTTGAAAAGAAGAATGTCTGCTGTGAAAGACCTGTATTGAATGTGAAATAAACTCAGCCTTATTTTTGTATTTAGCCGAATATGAGCAGTCCTCATCATGCAATAAATAAATACTTTTACGTCTGAATTGTGTACTGATCATGTCGCAATTAAAATGAAATTATATAATGTTCTTTTACGTTATCTTTTCCATAAACGTTTCTCTTAGACTTCTTCTTCGACATGGGCCAAGTCAACAATCACAAACATTTGGCAACCCCACAGTGCCATGATGTCTGGGAAGGTTTCCGCGTGTACCCGATGAAAGCAATTCACCCAAAATGTAAATTATTTGATTTAATCATTTGATTTTTACATTGACATAACAGCCTGGACTAAGGTTTTTCTTTAGTCTTCTGTTTATTTATTAGTCACTGATGGAATTAACTTTAAAGCTTCAGTTTATAGATTTTTTTAATGCACATCTCCAAATACCTCTTCCACCTTGTTCTCAGAAGCTATTTAATAATAATAATAATAATAATAATAATAATAATAATAATAATAATAATAATAATAATAATAATAATAATAATAATAATAATGATAATAAGGGCTGTTAAAGTTCTAGTAAACGGCTCTGTTCAAAAGATGGGTTTTTAGGCCTTTTTTAGGTCTGTGGTGTTTCTATGAAGCCAAATTGCAAAGAAATATCAATCTATGAAAATGAAATTATAACATAACAATAAAACGTAATGTTTGTTGCTGAATAACTAAGTGTCTGTCAATTAAATCCAATTAGCCTTATATTAGGAGTTGTAATAGAATAACCACACATATTATGATGACAGCACACATTGTATTAACGGTCCTCACATTTCAGAAAAGTGACCATTCATTTTGTAAAAATTAAGTAATGAATAAGTATGCTTGTATAAATATGAGTATTATTTGGGGACACTGTAACAGCTGAAGATTGACAATGATAATATACTGTATAAATGTTAGTTGCAAAATGCATGATGGGATACTACCCCCACCTCACAAACAGGTGAGCAAGAACACTTCCAAGCATCTGGACTGCATGGGGACTCGTGTGGAAAATATTGAGAAAGACCTCACTTGTTTAACAACTTTTTAAAGTTTTGATTCTGTATTCAATGAGGTATCTTCACATCATTTTCACTAGTATTTTTATCAGAAGATTTGGTTAGCAGCGATGTAAGATAAACATGTAAGCAGGTTGTGATTTTTATGCTCAAAGTTTAACATGCCACAGTATTGATGTAATGTGATGTGGGATAATGGACCTACCATAGCAGGGTGGCCATGTCCTGCATTCTGGTTGCAGTAGCCCTGAGGATGCAGGACCCCCGGACCTCCATGCCAGGCCTGGTGGGCTTCCCTCTCACGATGCAACACCAGCCTGTCGTACAGCTCCAGGTCCAGGGGAGCCACCAGACTTCTCACATCTGCCAGCATGGACAGCTGGAGCAGAGAAGAAGAGAAGCGAAGCTGAGATAAGAGCATGCTATGTGTGCTTTAATATGGATTACAGCATGTTATCGAAAATAATAATAAGAGCAGAGAATATCAACTTCTTGGGCATTTAAAGTAAAACATATTCCCAATGTAACATTACCATATACATGAATGAAATTGCCGCATACTTTAGACAGTTTTCCAAAAATCAAAAATGAATGGATCTATATGAATATTAACTTAGTACCTTTGCATGTGTGTTAAAAAGCTCACAGAGAGCCATGGTCAGCGGCTCCACTCCTATGTGTCCCTCCTGGTACTCCTGCAGGTAGTAGACCATGGTCTGCCTCTCTGGCTCCGTCAGCAGCATGTAGGCCTGCTGCTCCAGAGACACCTGAGCACCTGGGGGGCCCACACCTCTGTATACTGCAGGCTGACAAGAGAGACAGGTTGAGAGATTGAACAAATGTGAGTGAGTGAAACAGAGGTCACAAAGAACAGTTATCTACATCCCAAAGCATGCATCTGGAAAGTCTTCAGATGTGACCTTCCAGCCCCCCTCCTCATCCTGCGACCCTCTGCTGTGACTGAGCTCAGGGAGATTCAAGATGCAAGGCGTTTATTGTAATTTGTACATAGCTTCAGTGTAGATATGTCAATGAGAAACTGAGGTCACAGGCTCCTCCAACATTGCAACACAATAAACAGATAAAATACTGCAAGTAAATACAAATAAAATAGAAATAGTGCAAGAAGAGTCTATATACAAGTAATTGGAATATGATATATTAGATAAATAATTTGTAAGTTACAAACAGATGAATGTTATGGATGAAGGCACCGCTTGGAGGCTGCCATCAGAACTTGAATGCCTTTAGAACTATAGTGCTGTTATCTTTTTTAAGCATCCCACTTGAGAACTAACATTTTCACTGTTGGTAGATTCACTGTCGCAATGCTTTGCATCAGCTGTGAAAACCTTCATAGAATGTAAAATAATAAATAGGTCATTTGGTTACTGTTCAAGAAATGTGTTCAGTTTGACGTGACACACTACTATAAGGACTCGTTGTACTCATTAAAATAGACTATAATTGATCATGAGTTTTGATGTTTTAATTGGCTAAAATATGTTTCGCTGTATACATGATAACATGTATAGACTTCTCTGCATGTTCAGGGGTTTGAATGGTTAGCCTAATAAGATGGGAGATGCTTTATGTGGTATTCATTTATTAGACATGAAGGAATATATGATTTGTACCTGTCTTGGTTTGATATTTTAAGATGCAGATACTGCATTTGGGTGAATGGAGGTAAACAAATAAGACAACTGTGCAGACATGTCTGCTCCTGTGATAGATATAAATGTTTAGCATCCACTCTGTTGCCCTGATTTCACATGATTATGTTTGATGTCTGCAATACTGTATGAGCTTTTTATTTTAATGTTACTTTTAATTGTGTCCATGTCTTTGCATGCATGCTGCACTGATATACTCAAGTTAGTAAGTACGTTTATTTTATTTGTTTCAAAGTGAAGATTTACCGGAGTTACTAGAAGTTTTTCACTCAAAGACTGTTTGGTAGGTTATTTTCTCTTTACTATTCCATGCTTCTGGCACTACTAAGCAGCAAAGCAGCCGTTGGGTCAGTCAGTGCTACTGAATGGTTCAAGAAATGATAGGTTCAAACTCCCTAGACTCAAAACACGTTTTTTTCCATGTTCGCTAAAGATTAGAATATGTGTTAATACAAGAAAACAAGGCAGCCATACCAGAAGGCAGGCAAAGGGATCATACAATTCTCCTGAGAAGAGCTGACTTAAAAAGTAAGGGTTACATTTACCCTGACACAATGTGGATACAAAACCTTTACCTTTAAGTGGCAATAGGCTTTTAAAGACAAGTAACCATTGAAATATATTGTTTAACCTTCCGTCTTTAAGAACAGACAGCAGGCAGAAAGTCATTTCTGTGTTTACTTTGAGCCAGCCACTTGCTATACTAGCTAACCAAATAGCCCTGCATGTGGTAATGATAGGACAAAGCCTCTAGAAACACATATTTTGGGAGGTTGTGAGAATAAACTTAAATGTGGTAGTGTGTTTACTGTGTGTGTGTGTGTGTGTGTGTGTGTGTGTGTGTGTGTGTGTGTGTGTTAGTGTGTGTGTGTGTGTGTGTGTGTGTGTGTGTGTGTGTGTGAGAGAGAAAGAGAGAGAGAGAGAGTAGCAAAGAGAATTTTGCAACCTAAATATAAATAACCCCCCCTATCAAGTCATTATGATAAAACTACTTAATGCGAGTCGGCCTTAGCAGGTTTTTTACTTTGCTTAATATCGGCTGCATACTCAGCATATAGCACTGGTCCTAGTACTCAGGCCACATCAGTAAACTGATTCTCCTAGACTCTCTGCACCCTTCGACACCATGTGTCATGATATCCTCCTCACCCTCCTGTCTGGACATCTTGGCCTCACCGACTCCGCCCTCTCCTTCTTCCACTCATACCTCTCTCACCGGACACAATTTGTGACCTACGCTGGCTGTAGCTCCTCCTACCTCTCTGTTAACCATGGTGTCCCCCAAGGCTCGGTGCTCGGTCCCCTCATCTTTACAGTCAACCCTGTCTCCTCAAAATGTGCCATTTATTGTCTTGCTTTCCTACAATGCGCCCCACCATGCACGGGGCTGCTATTAATTCGAACAATCTTGCTGGCCTTTATTATTATTATTATTATTAGGATACTATACGTTTATACAAAGAGAAAATAATGTTGCAATCTCACGTTTTCTGGCCACAGTAGTTGTTTTTGAGAATTTTACATCCGGAAGTAAGTATTCTCTCTACTGTCGATTGATTTTACAGTGATATCTGCATTACTCATCAACTCAAAAACACCAGATTATACCTGTTAATTACACAACATTGATTGGTTTAAATTGTTTGCAATGCTTTTGTGTTTTTCCCCTTCGATTCGGAGTAACAAATAGTTTTTTCGGAGTTTAGGATGGCTACCCAAAATCCTCAGCTATCGTTTGGGACGACACCGGTCCGCTTTGCTTGATAAAACCTGTGATTAGTCCTCAAGCTCTGTGATTGGATGTTGGAGTGGCAGTGCACCATGGTTACGCCAAGCGTAAAACAGCACTTTGAAATGGAATGAAGCCCATCGACGGCACACTATCCAAAACAGGATTCGAACGAGTCCACCCCCACCCCACCCCCCAAAACTACACATGCGGGCTATTTGTGTGTTTCGCAACATGTTCTATGGCGCGTCTCTACTGGGAATTGTAGTTTTAGAAGACGTTTTCGTATTTCCCATAATTAGAAGTTGCCAGTATTAAACTGTGTACACCCCTGGAGGTTTAGGGGATGGGAAACACATTGGTGTTATCACATTTAAAACATATAATTAATAAATGGGTGAAAATTGCTTGTGTCAAAAATGTTCAGCATTAATATATACCATTACCCACATGACAGCTAAGGTCAGAAGAGCTTTATTTAATAGCTGGTCTTATGTCTGTGACCCCTCCACATTTTATCATTACAGCAGCATGTACAACATGCAATTTATTGAGGTTAACCTGGTATTTTTACTCCACTACATTTATTTTAGTTACTTTGCAGATTCTGATTAATGATGTGAAATATAAACAACCCTTAAATCAGACTTTGGTTACACCTGAGTAAAATTCAGTGAAGGTGATTGTCAAGTGCCAACAATCAGGTGAGATATTTGATAGTTGGTGCTTGAAAAGACTAAACATTTATCTGCAGATCCCTATAAATCATATTCATTACTCGTTATTCTCTACTAATAGTTAATTAAAAACTGTATATAATGGCTATTTTGCACATCCCTTTCAAGATTTCAAGATGTTCTAAGGTTTATTGACATATCATATACACAACTACGGTGTAGTTATGCAATGAATGAAAAACTTGGGTCGCAGGTTCCTCAACAGTGCATTACAAGACATCTATCAATATGTGTGTATACCTCCAGCATTAAACTGTCATATTCTGCACATTTCTTATACTATCTACATACATCTTATAAGAGTATAATTCATATGTATAATATCAGTTAAAATAAGTGCTTCAACATAGTTAACATTGCAGGAAAGTTGATTGTCAAGTCCCAAAACAAACTCTGCAATATATTAGACAAAGTACTTTGTCAGGCTTAATATTTATCTGTAGATACCCCAAAAGCTTTTTTCTTATTTAAAAGAAGACCTTAACTTAAAGTATTCTTTAATGTTTAAATAAAGCCTTATTAGTTTGTCTGTTTTGCACATCCTCCTATTAATATCTTCGGACATCCTGCACTAAACTGTTTTATTGTAGAGATCACTACAGTATCTTCTTGATATTATCTATTCTATATTTCTATCATTGACCTTCTACTTTCCCCCTATTTTGTATGTACTCTTAATATTTTAATTTTTTCATCAAATATAACATATTCAACAAAACATGCAGCAAAGATTAGCAACACAACCTTACCTGCATTGCAATGACTCTAAACATGTAATAACGTGCTTAAACCACTAGGTGGTGCGGGTTAAAAAACTGTCAAGTTTACAGTGTTAACACAATAAATTATACTGCTGTTTCAATTTTTTTATTGTGAAATTAAAACAGAACGGTAAAGAAAAATACAGTTCCGGTGTCCGTGTGAGGCTCAATCTCTCTAATAAATAAAGAACTACGGCAGATGTGTAATATTTAATGCAGCTGAACCATTTATTATAATGCATTTATGTGATGACTTTCAAAGAGTAAAGAAAGCATTAGCGGAATAAAGTATGATTTGATCTTTTACGAAAAAAAAAATTCATATAGAATAACCTAGCCTAACTGCCACTCCAACATCCAATCACAGAGCTTGAGGACTCTGAGCTCCGCAACCTGGGCATGATCTTAGACTCCACCCTTTCATTCCAGAACCATGTTAAATCAGTTACAAAATCAGCTTTCTTACACCTCAAAAACCTCTCTCGACTCCGGCCATCTGTCTCCGACTCTGTGGCAGAACAACTCATACACGCCTTCATCACCTCACGCCTGGACTACTGCAACAGAGTCCTGTCCAGGGTTCCCATCAAAACCCTGGACAGGCTCCAGTATATCCAGAGCTCTGCTGCTAGGATCCTCACCCACACAAAGCCTGGCAGAACTTCACCCCTACCCTACGTCACTTTCACTGGCTTCCAGTCCCGCATTCCCCTCAATAGCTCATAGATCTCCTCCACCCATACATCCTGTCCTGTACTCTGCGATCCTCAGACTCCGGCCTGCTTTCCATTCCCCATTCACGCCTCCGCACTTTCTGGGACCATGCTTTCAGTGTTGCTGCCCCAACACCAATTCTAATTCTCATTCTTTATAATTATGAGTCATTATTTTCTATGCAATCGTTGACAATCACAAATAAATAATGATCTGATGCAGCCACCTCGCTCTGTCTGCAGTACCAATATGTTGTCCTAATCAATGACTGTCAATACATCTGTCTGTCACAGGACTACTTTTTGTCACCACATTTGCTTTACAACGGTTCAAGATGCAGTCAAGCTACTATTTTGTAAGATAAGATATCATATAGTAATGGCATCCTGACATGAAATGGAGTCACACTCCTCTGTGTTGTAATCGGAGCTACAGTCCTCCAGTTCCCCCTCAGGTTCCCCCTCCGCTCCCCCTTAGGTTCCCCCTCCACTCCCCCTCAGGTTCCCCCTCCGCTCCCCCTTAGGTTCCCTCTCCACTCCCCCTCAGGTTCCCCCTCCGCTCCCCCGCTCCCCCCCAGGTTCGGGTCCGGGAGGATATCAAGAGATCACAAGTTTAAAAACGCTAAAGCCTAAGTGAAGTCACAAGTTATTAATGTGAAAGTCAAAGTCTATTTTGATGCTGTCAAACTAAGCCTAAAGAAATGAAAATAATGTCCAGATTCTGATTGTAGATCAACATGTTGTAGTGAAGAATCTGTCATGTCAGTACTATAACATGCACTTTGAAGAGGCATATTAGAGGCTTCTCAATTCTTAAATGTTCCCTCCTCGACTCCTCGACTCCTCGTTCCTCCGGTAGTGACCCGGAAATGAATTTCAGCGTGCCATGTTGAAGGACATCTCATTTCTCTAAATGCACATCGAGGACCGAGCATCGAGCATCGAGGAGGCTCTCTGGAGGAGGCTCTCTGGAGGAGGCTCTCTGGAGGAGCTATAACCGAGGATGCATTGATGGGTCCTCCACGGCTCCTCCGCGGATGCATTTCCGGGAACAGTGGAGGCGTGACGCACGGCCGGACTTATCTCAGCCAATGACAGCTCTGCATGCATCCCCTGGATATTATTTTAGTAACTGCTTTCATCGCGACGCGATGTTTACAGTGAGAACAGCTGTGAGGTCCGTGCAGAAAGCAGAGCAGTGTGTAAAATATCACTCAGTATAACAGGCCTACATTACTCTCTGTATTTGTATGCTGTAGTTTAGTAGATATCTACAAACAAAGAGTCCATATTTTTCTAAGACCATTTAGTGCTTCACATAATAAAATACACAACGGCTGTAGCCTGATTATGCTTTAGGAGCTGTAGGTGTGTGTGGTACAGTGTGTAGGTGTGTGTGTTGTACAGTGTGTAGGTGTGTGTGTGGTACAGTGTGTAGGTGTGTGTGTGGTACAGTGTGTAGGTGTGTGTGTGGTACAGTGTGTAGGTGTGTGTGTTGTACAGTGTGTAGATGCGGCAGACAGACGGGTCTCAGTTGGTTTGGTGTCCTATGCTTACTTTTAATACTTGTAAATACAACTTTTGGCCCGTAATTTCAATTCCCCATTTCAGCGACCAGAGAGAGGGGGGGGGATATATCCAGTCTCTGATTGTGTTACGTTATTATGAGAGTGCTCTCATACTTGTTTGATTCTGAAATTGTATATATTTATATAAATATATGTGTGTGTATATGTCCGCATCTGTAGCCTGTTATTGTCTCATTATACCGCACTGTGAATGAATTAAAAGTAAATATATAAGTCGTCATGAACACATCTGTCCATCAGACAGAGGGCTGCTGTGCCTCCTGTCATCATTAATGGACGTCTCTTTAAAATGACCGCTCAGAGGAGAGAAGTTCTCATTTCTCTAACCGCCTGCTGCTTCCCCTCCTCTCTCCTCGGTTCCCCTCCTCAGTCCTCCGCTCGCATCTCCTGTGGGCGGGACTAACTCACGAGGATAGGAGTCGAGGAGGGGAGTCGAGGAGGGGAAATTTAAGAATTGAGAAGCCTCTAATGTATACGGAGGGCAGTAGTGCATGGCTGCCTTTCTTACCTTTCCCAATACAAGTGTAGCTTTGGCAGAGGATGGCCTGCAACAAAGAAGAAAATAATGCAGAGCATATTTAAGAAAACCATCATTGTTGATTCCCCCGCTGTGAGACAAATAAGGAATTTTGATTCTGAACCATTATATTCATCTTAGAAACAAGTTGAACTGAGAATAACACATAAAGGAAACTCATCAACATGAATACCTGTACGCCCCGCCAATTCTTATGCATTTAGGAAATTATACAACAACCAACATCACAGCCTAGCAGGCAACGTGAGTTTAGTGAAGTGTGGAGCAGAGAGCTGTCTTGTAGAGAAATACCTCCCCAAATTCTAAATCAGAGCCAGCTCCATCAGGGCTGGGGGACAGATGGATGAGCCGGAGAGTCTTTACACAAATCTGCTGTAAAAAAAACGGTCTAACACAAGCCTCCACTGCAGGGAAAGATGTCCATGTCCCGGATCCCCGAGGGATAATAGATGACATTTGTATAGCGCCTTTCAAGGGACCCAAGGCCGCTTTACATGGTGAACAAACAAACAAACAAACACAGAAAAGGGGCAAATAATAAAGTAAAAAATTAAATAAATAGCAGTAGGAGTGGAAGCAGGGGGACTGTGATGGGTTAGGGGGTCAAAGGCCATGGTGAACAGGTGAGTTTTTAATGATGACTTGAAGATGTCCAGGGAAGCAGCATTGCAGATCTCTGCAGGAAGTGCATTCCAGATGGTGGGGGCCGCAACACTGAACGCCCAACAGTTCGGAGGCAAGAGCGGGGAATGGAGAGCAGGCCCGTGTCTGAGGACCGTAGACTCCGAGAATGGGTGTAGGGATGGAGGAGGTCCGATAAGTACTGGGGGTCGAGGGCATGGAGAGACTTGTAAGTGAGGAGGAGTGTTTTGTACTGAATCCGGGACTTGACCGGCAGCCAGTGTAGGTGGATGAGGGTGGGGGTGATGTGTTGCCAGGGCTTGGTGCAGTTGAGAAGCCTGACGGCAGAGTTCTGGACGTATTGGAGCCTCTCCAGGGCTTTGCTGGGAACCCCGGACAGGACTCCATTGCAATAGTCGAGGCGGGAGGTGATGAAAGCGTGTATTAGCGTTTCTGCCAAAGAGTCAGAGAGTGAAGGCCGGAGTCTGGAAATGTTTTTGAGGTGCTACAAAGCAGATTTGGTGACAGATTTGATGTGCACCTGGAAGGAGAGAGTGGTGTCCAGGATGACTCCCAGGTTGCGGACTTCAGTGGAGGGAGAGATGGAGCAGCCGTCAATGGAGAGGAGCAGGTCTCCAACCTGAGCTCGGTTTTATTGCTGTTTAGTTTGAGCAGGTTTGATGACATCCAGTTTTTTATGTCCTGTAGGCAGTTGACAAGGGATTGAGGGGGGGCCTACCTGAATGCGCGTGCATCACACCGTATAAAAGGAGGCCTCGCCTCCTGACTATCATCTTATCCTTTTTCTCTTCAGCAAGCGGAAGTGATTCCACGAGCTTCGAGACGATTGAGAAAGAGAGAGTAAAGTGTAGGACCTGCCCGAAATGCCCGAATCTAATTACCCTTCTGCTTCACGTCCTTGGGGCCTGACCACGCGGTGGGTAATATGGGCCCGACGCCGACATGCCCAGACTGCCAGATGATCCCGCGGCTCACACGAGAGCATCGTGGGCAGCACTTCCTGGCGAGGGCTACCCCGCAGGAGGAGTCGGAGGATCTGGAGCTCGACGTCGTTTGAGCAGGTTTGATGACATCCAGTTTTTTATGTCCTGTAGGCAGTTGACAAGGGATTGAGGGGGGAGCTGAGTGGACGGTTTGGTGCAGAGATAGTGCTGTGTGTCATCAGTGTATGAATGAAAGCTGAGACTATGATGGCGAATGATTTGACCAAGTGGGAGCATGTAAATGGTGAAGAGGAGGGGTCCAAGCACAGAGCCTTGAGGTACACCTTGGTTGACTGGGGCCGATGGGGAACTGCAGTCACTGATGGATGGACCGTTAGTTAATTCACATGACTTTACTTTGATTAATTACGGATTTAGGGGGGGAGAGAGCCATTGATGTAAAGGAAGAAGAGGAGAAAGAAAGCAGCCTTGAGGGGAACTAGTACGGATGATGATCATTTTGATGAGACAAGTTTCCAGCTGTATGTGCTGCTTCCTGTTGGACAGGAATTCAGTCTGGAAGGTGCAGCTGGGAGAGTTTGTCCTGCAGCAGATCCGGGACTATTGTATAAAGGCAGTGTTCCCGCCCACCCAACAGGATCCTGGCGAGGGTTCCTACTGTTTCCAGCTGCTGCAGGAGGAAGTGGAGGGCCATGTTGACTGCATCTTCTACAGACCTGTTGAGGGTTTTGAGGTGTGAAAGGACAAGGCGCTCAAAAGACTTAATTACACAGAGGTAATCTGTCATTAAGTCCTGTGATCCTGGTTTATTTTTGGACGGGTATGATGGTGGACGAATTGAGCGGGCTGGTGCATTGCAAGTCTTCAGTACGTTTTGAAAATGTCTGTAAACACTGGGGGCTGGGGTCCAGTTTGTTTGCATGGAGACAGTTGTCTTTGGGACGGGGCTTTAACCATCTGGCTGAGGTTCCTCCAGACAGAAGCAGTCACTTGATAAGAAATGTTGTAATTAAGCATCTCTCACAGATTTGCTTATTTGACTGCCAGATGATCCCGCGGCTCACACGAGAGCATCGTGGGCCGCCATGGCGGGTATCGTTAAGGTGGTGGATCGCTCGGACACGACATGTCCAGGTGTGCCCCCCCCCTCAATGAGAGCCTGGCGGCCCATCTGCTTCCGCGGCTGGTTGGGCGGAGGGTAAACGTCCTCTGCCCCCGCTGTCCCGGGACCGAGACACCTGGAATATCTGGATAAGTTGTTCAAGCTCGGTACACAGATGGCGGCTGCGGCCGATAATCTTGGTGTGTTGGCGTCTTCCTGATCACCCCTCAGGCAGACGCCCCCGCCCTCTCGCCTCAGGACGAGAGCGGTTATTCGGACCGCGCTGTTAGTCAGATGAATAATCTGATTTATGGCGTGGCCACCGCAGCAGGGCGGATGATTTCCCTGGCCACAGTGGCGTCTCGTCACGTGTGGCTAGGACTCACGGCCCTATCTAAGAAGGACCAAGAAGATCTCCTCAGAGCCCCCGTGTCCACGGAGGGGCTCTTTGGGTCGGTCTCCTCGGTCACCCAGCACTTCAGCCGCCTAGAGGAGGAGAGAGTCCAGCTTAGCCGCATGCTACCGCTGGCTCCTCCTCAGGCCCCGCTGCCCCCCCTCGCGTTGCCATGCAGGGGAGGGAGCGTAGTGCGACAGTGAAGCGGAGGGAGAGGCGCCGGCACGGGGGTCCTGTAGCTGCGGCACCCTCCACCTCTACGGCCCACCCCGTGGCACCGGCATACCGGCAGTCACGGGGAAGGGCTGCCCGAGCGAGGCAGGCTCCGCAACAGCAGAGAGCACCCGGGTGGGGAGCTCCATCTTCGCGGAGTTGACTCCCTATTTAATGCCCAGATCCCTGTCAAAACTTTTAAAAATAAAGATGGTGTTGATCTATATCCAAGTCTGAGTGTCCTTTGTTTCCACAATACACTTGCACATGTTGATGACTGTACCAATTCCCCACTCGCCGCCCCAGCTCTAGCTCCTGTTAGGGAGGAGGCTAGTGGGAGTGCGCAGATGAGAGTGATAAACTGCAGGCAGCGCTATTATGGTGCGATGCAGGTACAGGGACATTATGGCCGACGTTTTTCTGTTAGAAAACACTCTATGCCTGAAGCTAAGACTCCAAATAATGCTGTTTACCATAGTGGTAGGGGCTGCATTATAGCAACGCCCGCACTTGTAAAAAGGTGCGTGGCGGTGCGTTCAGGGGCCTTAGTAAGACACACTACGCCTGTAAAAGCTCCGGTTAATGCTGTTTTCCATAATGACGGAAATAGCATTATGATGGAGCGTGCGCTCACACGTGAGCGTGCGGCGGTGCGTTCAGGGTCCTCAATAGATAATCAGCCCTTTCTGTTTCGACCCCCCATGGGCAAATCTTCCCTTTACGGGGAGTTTTGCGGCGGAGCGGGTCATCAGAGAGTATCACAGACGCGCTGTGTGCCACCCTGTCAGAGAGCAGACGTGCGTCCCTTCTCAGGGCGGTGCACAGGCTGCGACAGGGGGCAACAGTGACAGCTTTAACTGTCATGCAGACTCTGGGTCTCATGGCGGCTGCTCACATGGTGGTCCCGCTGGGATTACTACATATGCGCCGCCTGCAGAGGTGGTCTCCAGCCTGCGTTTGGACCCCAAGAGGCACAAACGACTGGTGACCATCCCCCCCCTCAGTGGAGGGCAACCTCCGGTTTTTGGGGGTCTCCACTGGGACGGGTGACCTCCTACATCACAGTGTTCACGGACGCGTCCAGAACAGGATGGGGAGGGACTTGCCTGAAGAGGGCTATAGGTGGGCGCTGGGCTCTGACAGAGTCTCGACACAGCAACCTCCTAGAGCTACGGGCAGTAGTGTTAGTCCTCCGGCATTTCATGCCCCTAATTCAGGGGAGACATGTAATAGTCAGGAGCGACACCACAGTGGCTTATATCAACAGGCAGGGCGGAGTCCGCTCCGCCTCCTTGTTGACCACAGCGGAGAGGCTGTGGTTATGGGCTTCAGAGGTGGTGTTATCTCTGAGAGCCCTCCATATCCCGGGAATGGAAAACAGGGGGGCCGACCTCATGTCGAGGGGCGGCCCCCTGCCAGGCGAATGGACGCTTCACCCGGAGGTGGTGAAGCATATCTGGGCCCAGTTCGGGAGAGCGGAAGTGGACCTGTTCGTCAGCCAGCGCAACAGCCACTGTGCCCTGTGGTTCTCCATGGCCCTGAGCGACGACCCGCCCTTGGGGGTGGACGCGTTTGCACACGAGCCATGGCCAAGGAAGCTGCTATACGCCTTTCCACCGCTGCGTCTCATCCTCCCTCTCCTGGGGAGAGTGAGGCGAGAACGTCTGGCAGTCATTCTGGTGGCACCGGATCGCGTCGGGGCTCCGTGATACTCAGAAATGACACAGATGAAGGTGGGCCAGCCCTGGGCGATCCCCCAGTTCTGGGGGGCGATGTCTCAAGAGGCAGGTGCAATCGGGGCGTTACCCACGCTCGGCCAACCTCTCCAGGCTTGGCTCCTGAGAGGGACAGGCTGAGACAGGGTGGATTGTCTGACAGTGTTATTCAGTCTATCCAGGCAGCTAGAGCTGGATCCACCACAGCCTGTTATGGCGCGTTTCCACTACACGGCCTCGCTCGGCCCCGCTCGGTATGGCTGGGCCTCGTTAGGACTGGCTCACTTTATGGCGCATTTCCATTACAGTTTAGGAACTGGGGTAGTATCTATAGTAACGCAGTGTAGGCGGAGCCGTGACGTGATCTTCAATGAAAACCCCAGAAAAACAACACAGCCGTTAGCTGTTAGCACTCACAGCTCCTCATATATGTTCAGAAACTAGACAAAAGTTAAACCAGTACAAACCACAGACTGCCTGTGTCATGGTGAATACAGTCGCTGCTTTATTTATGTCTGTATAGGCCGTTGTTGTGAGTGTGGACGGTCGGAGCATATACTGCGTTAGCTTAGCCAATCTCCATTTAGAACACACGCATTTTAAAAGGTTTTTCGCCTGCCGTCTGTCTGCAGACTTGACAAAGCATTAATTCATGGTTTTTACTAACCGGTATCAGTATGTTGTTACTTCGGCATCATTTTGAAACGTGTATTACAATTAAATCACGGTCAAATATGTCCATCTTGTTGTAGTTGTAGCCCCCTTGCCAGCGATGCTCTCTCTAGTTTAGCATACTCAGCCCGACTCAGCCTCGTTGTCTCTGGCCCTAGACCCGCGATTTTATGAGGCCAGAAAAACTGTGAATTAGGACCCGCCGGCCGGTACTAGGCCAAGTGGAAACGCAACCAAAGACGGGCCGCTGACGTCACAGCCCTCTTAAACCGTGCTCCGCGCTGTAGTGGAAACGCGCCATTACAGGCAAAGTGGCTGGGATTCCAGCGATGATGTGAGGAGCAGAGAATAGAGCCCCTATCTTGTGAGCAAGGCTCTATTTTGTACTTCTTACAGTTTTTGTCTTACGGTTGTGGCATCTGACCCCCTCCCCGGACGTGATGCGCCTTTCCTGGGCCCTCTGAGGGTCCCGGGATAGGCAAGGGGCGCGCTGGCCCGTTACGGGGCGGAGGGGCTGCCCCGTCTATGGGCGGGGGGGGGGGGGGGGGGCGAGTCTGTTTTTTGAGCACACTTTCTGCGAGGTAGGCGCAGCAGGGTGTGCTCTGTCAGCCGCAGCCCAGATTTCTCCTCGGTCTCAACCGGGTTAAAGGAGAAGGTGGGGCAGCTGCTGCTGACCAGAAAAGCCGGTCAGGGGCAGTAGGGTGGATTGGTGTTGGACGACAGTGCGCGTATACATCAGGGCTCCACCCACTGTACCCATAGAGTCCAGTAGAGGGCGGAGCCTGTGAGAGATATAACGGGGGGTTACGTATTGTAACCCTAGTTATATAAGCACAGGCGGAGCCCTCTACTCAGGGCACTGTCTGTCCTATTCCGCTCGCTGAAGAGAGGTAAAGGATGATAGTCAGGAGACGAGGCCTCCTTTTATACGGTGTGATGCGCGCGCATTCAGGTAGGCCCGCCCTAGGCCGGCTACGTCTATAGAAGTCTCAGTGGGAGAATGCACGCAGGATAAGGTAGTACCCATAGAGTCCAGTAGAGGGCTCCGCCTGTGCTTATATAACTAGGGTTACAATACGTAACCCCCCGTTTCGTGCAATATTGTTGCGGGGGGAAACGGACTTAAGAGGTTAATGTGGGGACAAAACCCATGGAGTGATCACACATGGCCTTGAATGTTTCATTGGACCTTCAGGCTGGTCTGTCTAAAATAAAGGCACTTTCTGCCTGTAACTGGTGAGCTTACACTTTGAGAAGGAAGTAAAAAATCTTCAAAATGGTAACTTCTTCTTAACTTTAAGCCATGCCATTTGTTTGCTTCCAAGGAGACCATGACAGGACAGCTGCTTCACTTTAATGATAAGTTCTGCTTCAGTTGTCCAGGCAGATCAGGGGAAAACCAGAACACTTTTTCCCATAAAATGGCGGTGTGTGACCTGGTGCCGTAAAGCCTCCTGCATTGCACGTGCAAGGCATTTGGGGAGCAGAGTGGGACTGACAGTGTTCTGCCTATTACATAACTGTTATATAAGTCCGCTTGTAAGATAGTTGCTATATGTTGCCTTTAAAGTTAACAATTTAAAGATACAATATTTTATTTGTCTAATCCTCAATTACAATGATGTCTCTAGTTCCCTCCACTGACAGTATTGTATTATATGTGGGGAAAAGTCATTGTATCTAAGTATAATGCACTCACCTTGAACTGCAGGCACTGACGTTGACGTGGATGCCGGCATTGACATGGGAGTTGGTGAGATAACTTGGGTTAGCTGTAGCATTGGTCTCAGCTATGGCCTGACTGCAGATCCATTTGGTCTCGTCCACCACTGTGCGTGCATGAGGCAGACGCCCTACATCCCTAACTTTCATTAGAAGGTGGCGTCCTGTCTTGAGGATGTGAACTGCCTCATCGTGGGAGATGGTTACAAAGCTCTGTCCGTTGACATCCAGGATCTGGTCACCCACCTGCAACAGATCAGTTTCATCACAACATAAAACAACGCAGAGTTTTTGTGGCGTCAGAACAGGCCGCCCTTTATATATATATATACGTACATATATACAGTGGCAAGAAAACGCAGTGAAACCTTTGGAATAACCTGCATTTATGTATACATTTGTACAAAGAAAATGGTATGATCTTCCAACCCTGTCTCCTCAAAATTAAGTTCCCACAGAACTAAACTGCATTCTCAATTACGTTTAGCTGGAAACGTATTTTCTTTACATCCAGAAGTAAGTATTCTCTCTAATGTCGATTGATTTTACAGTGATATCTGCATTACTCATCAACTCAAAAACACCAGATTATACCTGTTAATTACACAACATTGATTGGTTTAATTTGTTTGCAATGCTTTTGTGTTTTTCTCCTTCGATTTGGAGAAACAAATAGTTTTTTCTGAGTTTAGGATGGCCGAAGACACTACACTACCCATAATCCTCAGCTATCATTTGGGACGACACCAGTCCGCTTTGCTCGACAAACCCCGTGATTAGTCCTCAAGCTCTGTGATTGGATGTTGGAGTGGCAGTGCACCTAGGTTATTCTATATGAAAAATTGTTTTCGTAAAAGATCAAATCATACTTTATTCCGCTAGTGCTTGCTTTACTCTTTGAAAGTCATCATATAAATGCATTATAATAAATGGTTCGGCTGCATTAAATATTAAGAGTACATACAACATAGGGGGAAAGTAGAAGGTCAATGATAGAAATATAGAATAGAAAATATCAAGAAGATACTGTAAGTGATATCTACAATAAAACTGTTTAATGCAGGACGTCCAAAGATATTAATAGGAGGATGTGCAAAACAGACAAACTAATAAGGCTTTATTTAAACATTAAATAATACTTTAAGTTAAGGTCTTCTTTTAAATAAGAAAAAAGCTTTGGGGGTATCTACAGATAGATATTAAGCCTGACAAAGTACTTAACGTCTAATATATTGCATAGTTTGTTTTGGGACTTGACAATCAACTTTCCTGCAATGTTAACTATGTTGAAGCACTTATTTTAACTGATATTATACATATTAATTAGACTCTTATAAGATGTATGTAGATAGTATAAGAAATGTGCAGAATATGTTTAATGGTGGAGGTACACAGATATCGATAGATGTCTTGTAATGCACTGTTGAGGAACCTGCGACCCAAGTTTTTCATTCATTGCATAACTACACCGTAGTTGTGTATATGATATGTCAATAAACCTTAGAACATCTTGAAATCTTGAAAGGGATGTGCAAAATAGCCATTATATACAGTTTTTAATTAACTATTAGTAGAGAATAACGAGTAATGAATATGCTTTATAGGGATCTGCAGATAAATGTTTAGTCTTTTCAAGCACCAACTATCAAATATCTCGCCTGATTGTTGGCACTTGACAATCACCTTCCCTGAATTTTACTCAGGTGTAACTAAAGTCTGATTTAAGGGTTGTTTATATTTCACATCATTAATCAGAATCTGCAAAGTAACTAAAATAAATGTAGTGGAGTAAAAATACCAGGTTAACCTCAATAAATTGCATGTTGTACATGCTGCTGTAATGAAAAAATGTCCCAACTTGGGATCAATAAAGTATATCTTATCTTATCTTAAGATGATTGATGACTACTGCCATATTTGCAAAATGTGCCTCTGAACCTTGACAAGTGCATGTTTCAGGCTTATCAATGAACAACAGGAGGGGTCACAGACATAAGACCAGCTATTAAATAAAGCTCTTCTGACCTTAGCTGTCATGTGGGTATATTAATGCTGCCCATTATGGACACAAGCAATTTTCCCCCATTTATTAATTATATGTTTTAAATGTGATAACACCAATGTGTTTCCCATCCCCTAAACATCCAGGGATGTACACAGTTTAATACTGGCAAATTCTAATTATGGGAAATACGAAAACGTCTTCTAAAACTACAATTCCCAGTAGAGACGCGCCATAGAACATGTTGCGAAACACACAAATAGCCAGCATGTGTAGTTTTGGGGGGTGGGGTGGGGGTGGACTCGTTCGAATCCTGTTTTGGATAGTGTGCCGTCGATGGGCTTCATTCCATTTCAAAGTGCTGTTTTACGCTCGGCGTAACCATGGTGCACTGCCACTCCAACATCCAATCACAGAGCTTGAGGACTAATCACAGGTTTTGTCAAGCAAAGCGGACCGGTGTCGTCCCAAACGATAGCTGAGGATTATGGGTAGTGTAGTGTCTTTGGCCATCCTAAACTCCGAAAAAACTATTTGTTTTTGGGGAAAAACACAAAAGTATTGCACAACATTTAAACCAATCAATGTTGTGTAATTAACAGGTATAATCTGGTGTTTTTGAGTTGATGAGTAATGCAGATATCACTGTAAAATCAATCGACAGTAGAGTGTGCAACTCGATTTTGACAGGATAACAACTGGTGACTTCTAGAATTGTGTGAGTAACATTCTGTTTTTAGACTTCTCTGTTTCAGTGTGTGTGCTCTGTATAAATGCTCTGTAGTTGATCTGATTGAAATTGTGATTTTAATCTCAAAACCGCTACAGTATTTTCAGGCAAAAATGTGGGACAATTATTTCGACAGAAACCTTAAAACTGAACTAACTGGCTGCTAGGGTTAACTTTGATTTAACACGGTGAACCATCAGATCCTCCTTCGCACTCTCCAAGAATGTGGAGTTTCAGGCTCTGCACTTTCCCTCCTCACCTCATACCTCAAAGACCGCACCTACAGGGTAACTTGGAGAGGGTCTGAGTCAATTAACTACAGGGGTCCCTCAGGGCTCTGTCCTTGGTCCCATCCTCTTCTCTCTGTACACAAACTCGCTCGGATCGTCCATTAGCCCGCATGGTTTTTCATACCATTGCTACGCTGACGACACCCAATTAATTCTGTCCTTTCCCCGCTCAGAGACCCAGGTCGTCGCACGCATCTCTGCTTGTCTAGCAGACATCTCTCAGTGGATGTCTGCTCACCACCTCAAGCTCAACCTTGACAAGACTGAACTGCTTTTTCTTCCGGGAAAAGAGTGTCCCACTCTTGACCTAACAATCAACATCGGCTCCCTCTGTTGTTTCCCCGACTCAGACTGCAAGGAATCTGGGTGTGACCCTAGATAACAACCTGTCCTTCACTGCAAACATCGCTGCTACAACCCGCTGCTGCAGATACACTCTTTACAACATCAGGAGGATACGTCCCCTCCTGACCCAGAAAGCAACGCAACTTCTGGTCCAGGCTCTCGTCATCTCACGCCTAGACTACTGCAACTCCCTCCTGGCTGGTCTACCTGCTCCCTTCACTGGCTTCCAGTAACTGCTGGAATCCACTTCAAGACACTGGTACTTGCGTACCATGCTGTGAATGGATCTGGCCCTTCCTACATCCAGGACATGGTTAAACCATACACCCCAGCACGTGCACTCTGCTCTGCATCGGCCAAACGGCTCGCTGCACCCTCACTGCGAGGGGGACCCAAGTTCCCATCAGCAAAAACACGTAGGTTTGCTATCCTGGCTCCAAAATGGTGGAATGAGCTCCCCATTGACATCAGGACAGCAGAAAGCTTACACATCTTCCAGCGCAGACTAAAAACTCATCTCTTTCGACTCCACTTCGAGCAATAAATGTACTAACAAAGCACTTATATACTAACAAAGGACTGGCTTATCTAAAGCTAGTTGAGTAGCACTTGAAATGTTTTGGCTCTATGAAACCTGATGTACTTATATGATTCTGTTTTCTTCAAGTTTGTATCTTCTTGGTCAAATGCACTTATTGTACGTCGCTTTGGATAAAAGCGTCAGCTAAATGCAATGTAATGTAATGTAGAGAGAATACTTACATCTGGATGTAAAATTCTATCGTATATTATCCTAATAATAATAATAATAATAAAGGCCAGCAAGATTGTTCGAATTAATAGCAGCCCTGTGCATGGTGGGGCGCATTGTAGGAAAGCAAGAAAATAAATGGCAAATATATGTAGAAAATAAACGTATTTGAGTTACGTCCAAAACAAACGTAATGTAGTAGAAAATACGTTTCTAGCTTAACCTGTTTAGCCCTGAGCCTGAAGATGACATTCCCAGAACAAATGACCATATCTTCCCTTCTAAAAGGGTTAAATTAATAATATTTTTTCTTAAAGTAATGATAAACCTGTGAGTTGGATGTAGAAAAGTCAGAACAATATAGATGTTTTTTATTTTAAAGAAAATTCAGATTGAACATAGTAAAAAACTGTAAATTATAGTGTCCGTCCAAAGATTATTTTTTACTTATAGTGAAAACTACCCTCGGATGATGGTAAGGTAGACTAAAAGCTTTAGGAATCCAAAGTACAACATATAATAAGTACCCTGTATCAAGATTGATGCAAAACAAGTGACATTTGACCTTTTTAGAGAGGTTTAGCAAAAAAAACTCCACCTCTGAGGTGATTTGGGTGGAAATGGGGGTTTTACCGTTTCTCTGGAACCCATTGGTCGATTTTGGTGATTGACATCTCTTTCTGACCGTTAGAGCCAATAGAATCGAAGGGGAATCTCCCCTCTCACACACATGGTAAAAAGAAAAGGTGGGGGCTTCGCGCATGCAGTTTTGCATCAGAGCGAACCTATCTCTCGCTCTGACATCTGGAAACGGAAAAGCAGGTTTATTGCTCATGGATTATCAGAAATCATTTCAAAGGGACACAGACACATTGGATTAACCTATGGATTAACTTCAGCAGCGTTTTTATCGTTTTAATGCCATTGAAGACCACTTTTGACCAGACTACGAGACAGGTAAGCCATGTTAGCGTTTTTAGCTACCTAGCGCCAGATGTTTTGATGTCTGTTTTTGTTTATAAAGTCGCAAGTTCGTATCATGGAGTGATAATGTATGTACCCATTGATTCTGTGTCACCTCACGATGTGAAAACCAATGTACTCTTTATAACATTAATGTAAAACTAA